CTCACAGCTCCATTCCTCTTCCCTGGTTTTGTACATTAATTTACTGCCTTCATCACGGGCTACATTCATGAAAACTAGATGAAGGCAACAGAGACAAGATGCTGCTCTTAGTATTTGTTTTCAGGCATAATATTAAAATGTCTTAGGCTTGTGAGTACTTATACATTCCTGGATTATTACAAAGCAGAAGGATGGTTTCTTACTGTTACAAAAATTTCCCTTCATCGCAGCTCCAAACCACATACTGGCCACTTTAGAAGAAACAAAAATCAACCAGTTGACATCCTTAGCTGCAAGCCAATATGGAGCCTTCTGCAGGACCACAGCCACCTTTTATTAATTTAAAGTGGGGGTGCCTGCAACATTGTCTCCAGACTATAATGTGAGTCGCCACTCGGGGAAAATGCTCATTTCCAACGCACTATGAGTGTTCTCAGAGTGAACTGTGCAAAGGGATTTCTAAAATGTACTGGAAAGTAACTGCATATTTCTACCTTATTGCTCCAAAAGGTCTTGCTAATGGAAGAGAAGAGAGAAAAACAACAGGGATGGAACCCCATCCTGTTTATGACTCAAGACAACAGTCTGGGCTCTGAATGCACATTCAAATCAACTTTTAAAAATGACCTTTAAGAAACAGAGAGGCATTTTCCACAACCTGCCTACCCCTGGCCGCCCGAGTGAGAGCCCACACAAGCCTTTTTTTACAAGTAAGTCTCTTGTGGACCTTAATGTGCAAGAGGCTAGAGAAAACAACGACTTGAAGAAACAAAGCTACGGACACGGGACACATGCAAGACACTGTCCAATGGACAGAAAGATCTTCTGGCCTAGGGCCATCATACGTATAACACTAGTACTGACCTATGCCGTCTACCGCCTAGAGCCAAAGGCTGGCCCCAATGTTTGATGTCTTGCCTTTAACATGCCACATGCTCCATAAATGTCACAGAAACAACTAAGTCCATCTCTAAAATCTACCCTTGAAATGGACCCACAATCACATAATGGGCATATCGGGCCTATTTACAAATTGCAAACTTTCCATCTCCCTAAGAACACAGGAAAGCTGAAATGAGGCGCACAAGTTAATGTTGTTAAAACTGAGCTGTATTATAGTGGCTTAAAAATATTTCCTTCAGTTAAAAACTCATGGACCCCTTTTGAACTGTTTTCCAAATCAACTGGCCATTCTCTTCCATCAGTACAGCTGAACGAGCACCACAGATCAGTAAAGTTGATTTCCAAATAGAAGACCTTGTGAAAGTACAGTATCTCCTCCAAAGGCTTAATGTTTTCCTGGATTTTGGAACACTGTTCTCCATGCTAAAATCAGTTTTAATACTGCTGCATTTTCTCCAAGTTTCAGGGCGTGCTGCTCATTTAATTGGGTGAGTTTGCCTCTCTCTCTCATTATTGGCATAGTTTCAGGTCATCTGAATCTTCAAACATCTAATTAGCTCTTGATCCCAGTCTCATACACGCACATTAATAATAATACAATTACAGCGAGCATGCCATGTTACTTGAAAAGATCAAGGGAGTCTTTCTTGCATATTTTTCTATTTCCTCCTTGCTCCTTCCCACTGGAAAGCATTAATAAAATATTATTTTTAAGTCAGTGACTGATTTAATGTTAATGAGTCATGCTCACATCATCTTATCTGAGGCTTTCTAGAGTCTGAAATTTACCAGCCAATCTCAATTCTGTTAATCTTAGATGTCTGAGAATCATGGTTGCAGAGATCGCAAGGTTGAGCAACACTGTTCATAATATTCAAGTGATAAATCTTCCTTTGCAATTTCTGTGGCATTTTATTTCGCTTCCCTTAGTTTCCAATTTGCATTTAATTCTTTAGAAAGATGACAGTAATATGCATCCACCCAAAAGACACTGCCAAAAACACAAAAATCAGTTCTCATGAGCATCCTGAGGCAGAAAAGTTTCTTTTTCTTACTTGCAAGTTAAAACCATAAACATTGGTGTACTTTTACACATTTAGTTAGGAGGATATGTAATTATTCATTTGATTGCGGACATGAGTTTCGCAGATTTGTAACGCCACAAAGTGCTAACTTCTCTGTGTCTTTTCAAAACAAAATGATTCTGTGAAAAAGGCACACTGCATCAGAAACATTAAAATAGAAAACAGTCTCAGCGGACCATGAAAAGGATTACAAATTACTCACATATTTTAAAAGTACAATCAGTGACCATTTATGTGTGATACTGCACTATGCACACATCTCTAATATAGATTTTTCCTTACATTCCCACAAGAAAACAAACCAAGAGTAACAACAAGGAAAACCAATTACAATGCTTGCCCTTATATTTTCTGCACCTAAGACATTAGTTGACGCACTAGAGGTCAGTGGGAAAGCCAATGTTAGGTTGCTCCAAGAAGCACGCATCGGTCTGACCACACAAGGTGAAAACAGGAGCCTGTGTGCTCAAGCCTGTGCATTTATAAAGGATAGAAGAGAGTGTTAACAGACTCTGAAAATGTCAAGGGCATGGATAATTTTCTGATTCTTCTCTTCTTCTGTACTTCATTATCACGTGTGACTTTCAATGAAAAACATTTATTATTTTTTTTCCCAAAAGTGCCAGGTTAGGGGGCGGGGGGGATGAATAGGGAAGCAGAGAGTATTCCTAAGGCAGTGAAACTGGTCTGTTTGACATCATAATGGGCCATACGTGTCACTGTCCATTTGTCCAAAACCACCGAATGTACAGCACCAAGAGTGAACTCTATGGTAAGCTGTGGATGTTGGGGGGAGTATGATGCATCTTCAGTAAAAAATGTACCATTCTGGTAAGCGATGCTGATAACTGGGGAGACTGTGCACGTGTGAGGGGCAGGGGGTATCTGAGAAACCTCTGTACCTCCCTCCCAATTTTGTTAGGAACCTAAAACTGCCCGAAAAAAAAATAAAATCTTTTAAAAAAAAGAATCACCGGGAATGGTGTTTCTGAGTTGAAATAGCATATAGTCACATGCAGCACATCAGCATCACCCATGCTCTTGTAACTCCTGAACGTGGCTCCTAAAAGTGCCATGGTTCTCGAAACTGTCATTATACATGGGTGACCTCGGTGTCTCAGAACAGAAGCAGTACGATGCCCCCCAAACATTACAGTATCTCCAGTTTTCTTCAAGCGCAAGGAGAGAATCCCCAAATAGCTCTTCAGATTCTCTGTGGTTTAAATGCCTTTTTTTCTGTATTCTGAATGTCCAGGATGCAATATTATACGTTCACATGTTTAGAGAAATGGGGTGCCAGCTAGGGATTCTCAGGGGCCATCTAAGTCAGATACATATTCATGACAATATTATCTGGTATTTTAATCAATTAATAGGATAGACAGTCTCTTTATCCATTACTTTTTTTTTTTTAATGTAATGTAGTAAGTACTTGATTCATCTAAGAAGGACAAAACGAGAGAGACAATTAGAGGAATCAAACTCAGAGCAAAGTTCAGGTATAAATGTAGGCCCAATACATAAACCAGTATGTTACGAAGAGATGTATCCCAGGTGGATGCTGGGAAAGTAAAATATCATAATGCTTTGGAAAACAATATTTGAAGACCCATAAATAAAACAGTACACATCATTCATTGAGCACTTGCTGTATTTTACCACTGGACAGAATATTTTATTTGCAAACTGTCCTAATAACATTCCTGTTAGAAACGCGTGACTACACTCATTTCCTAATAAGAAAAGGGAAGCTCCAAAGGTTCAGTAGCTTGCTGAAGTGCTGTGACTATACAGGGACAAGGTGGAACTCTCCCAGAGGCCTCTCCTTGTCTATTGACTCCTCTGTCTTTTGCACAACATCTTATTCATTCTTTTTTTTTTTTTTTTAATTTTTTTTCAACGTTTTTTATTTATTTTTGGGACAGAGAGAGACAGAGCATGAACGGGGGGAGGGGCAGAGAGAGAGGGAGACACAGAATCGGAAACAGGCTCCAGGCTCCGAGCCATCAGCCCAGAGCCTGACGCGGGGCTCGAACTCACGGACTGCGAGATCGTGACCTGGCCGAAGTCGGACGCTTAACCGACTGCGCCACCCAGGCGCCCCAACATCTTATTCATTCTTGAAACATTAATCGCAATAACCTTCTTCCTGAACCTTTGCCAAAAGGAAACTGTTTTTAACAAATCAAAAGTTACGTGTCAGGAAACATTCATAGCAGTAAGAAGTGTCAAGGGCCCACAAAAGAGATTAGTGCATTAGGTTTTGCTATTTCCATGGAAAGACAACCATTAACTTACAATTTACACATTTGGTGTTATGGAAAATGACACTGATAAAGTATTAAATAAGAGGGGTTCCTGGCTGGCTCACTTGGTTAAGTGTCTGACTCTTGATTTCAGCTCAGATCGTGATCTCACAATCCGTGGGTTCAAGCCCTGGGCCGGGCTCTGTGCTGACAGCTCAGGGCCTGGAGCCTGCTTCGGATTCTGTGTCTCCCTGTGTCTCTCTACCCCTCCTCTGTCCACTCGCACACGCGCTCTCTCTCTCTCTCTCTCTCTCTCTCTCTCTCTCTCAAAAATAAATAAATAAATAAATATAAATAAATAAATAAACAAACTTTAAAAAAAGTGCTAAATAAGAAAGCAGACTAAAACACTTTATGAAGACTACAATTTCTAACACATAAAACATAATTCTAAGATATTTAAAAGACTTTTAAAAATGTGTTTTAAGCAGGTTCGAATTCGAATGTTTTTAAATATTCCATAGATTTTGACACTGAAAAATATTAGTGTGAGTTGGATATAATTTGAACTTAATGAAAATCTTTAAAGAATCTAATTTAGATGTGATTAACAAAACAGACCCTTGAAAAACCCCGCAGTCTTATAACGGAAGAAGGAACATGAGGGTATTAATATACCTTTGGCCGTTTAACAATACCTTTCACCACAAACAGCCCTGTGTTTCGGGATAGTCGCTGTAACCTCTCTGAATATTAGTTTCCTTACCTGAAAAAGCTGGGTTTGGAGATCATGTCTTCACTTGCCTTCGGTGGTAATATTCTACAGATGTATAAATCCTAGGAAGAAAACATATAAGAAGCAAAGTCATTGGCATGGCACTATTCATAATACTAAGGGAACAGTTTTGGAAAGGTTGATTGATATAATCCAAAACACTGAACTTGGAAACAGCTGTGGATACATGACATGTCCCTGTATAGACTTCTAAGAGGCATCAGCAAGGCTGACAAGTCGGATACACACAGCAGGTTAAACAGGTGGTCATCGGGACTACAATACATCAGATACTGATGTATTCACATCAAAGCTTCCTTCCGAGGGGACTGCGTATGATGGTATTGGGCTCCCGGGCGTACCCAGAAGAGATGGGGCTCCCTGTGGTTCGTGCTGGCGGACCGGGGTACGTGATGACAGGGAGGTACAGGTGCAGCTGGCCGAAACATTCAGAATGATCACAGCACTGGACCCAACACCGCACCTTGCTTGAGTGTCTCCCCCACACCGTAGAATATTCCACGCCTGATACCTCACCCACAACTGAAGGTCACGGCTCTCACCTTATCCACATAAGCTCAGCTTCTGAATCTACTTAGTCAGAAGGTTCCCACTGTCTAATTGACACACAGAAGGCAGGTTTTTACATCCTCCTGTGCTCATTATCAGACTGATCAGATTCATCCATGGTATGCGTCCCTTTAAGGTGTTTGCTATAATTATCCATGGCATATAACCATGAATATAAGATCATTTATTTTTCTACTGATGGGTATTTGGAAAGTTTCCAGTTTGGGGCTGGGAATAAAGGTTCAAATGGAAAATTCAACTTCCTGTGTGTATATATTCCCTGATTTAACGAAGCAAGCAAACGACACCCCCAAAGTGAGGCCTGAAATGGAGGATGTGGGTGCAGTCATCCAGGACGAATTTTTCAAGGCGTCTGTGCTATCCCGAACCCATATTTTTGCCAGGAGTTACAAATTCAACTACTTTAGAAGTGGGCTGGGGAACAGCCTGGGCTGCTGTGTTCCAGGTACAAATACTAAGTTCAAGGATGCCAGTCAAATCCGGGATGCTCTAACGACACAGTTACAGCACGTGATGCACCGAACTGATCAATATGCAGCTACATTCTCTTCTGAACACGGTTTCATAATCTTCCCATCGGCCACTATCACAACTCACAAGACACTTCAAAGACATTTATAGGACTCTATGCCTCTGGAGACTGTGCGTGATGCTAACATCGCAGCTTCTACGAGTTATCGTTTCACTGGCCATATATCCTACTGAATTAACTGTGCTCTTTTGTATCTTGGACGAGGGCTAACTCCTGTTCCTTACCTGGCTAGACAGTGTACGAAGCTCAGACTACGTGGCATCCATACCTCACAGCTAATATGAGGAAAATTCTACAGACTCTAGGATGGTCAAAAACAATCCCAACATCCCGATCATACTTCTGGACCTACATGAAAGAATGTGCTTGACATATTTCTCCACAGAAGCCAAGAAGAAAAGCAATTTCAGAATTTGGGGTTTGTGCACTGGCCCGGTTGTAAATTTCTTTTTAAGTGATTGAATTTCATCTTGTCTGAATACTGAAATAACAGGAAATAACCAAGAGACCAAGAGATGAATTTATAACGGGGTAACTTATATAAGTTTTACATAAACACTTTCAAGAGCATAGTATGATTTTCAAACGTCTCCAATTATATTTGAAAAGCAAATAGGTATTGTAGCTTAGTAGCATAAAACTGCAAAAAATAAGTCTATGATAGTACATATCCTTACTTCCAATTTTTTCCCCCAATTTGCCTTCTTAGGAACACTGATTAGAATATTCCAACAAAGACCACCATTTCCAAAAATGTAAAGCGATTACTTGGTCAACCTCTTTAATTCAGTTCAATTATTTATTATATTATTTTCATTTTATCTATATTCAGGATGCCACTAGGAAAATTCCCATTTTCACCCTGTCTTTCAGCAAATATTTCCCTGAGTACATGGTACACGCCTGCCTCTGAGCTAAGAAAGGTATATATCAAGATGGGGACAGAGATGCACAAAGTTCTTGTTTTGTTTTTTAATGAAAAACACTTGTCAAAATTTAATCTCTTCTCGGGTTTGCAGACGACAACATGCTTATGGAATTTGTATGTTATTAAGACCTTCAAATCCTTTCTTTATCCCCAAGAGCCTTGAAGTATCTTTATGCAACAGTTTGAAGTTCACATTCATTGTCTTTGTAAGTGAAGGGCATGGTGACTTTCTATCTTTGATGTAACATTGACTTTTCTTATTTTCCATCTTTAGAGTCTGTTTTTTAGTGTGGTTTTCGGCTGACTAGTCTACAGAGAATTTACTAAGTCATCAATCATTTCCCTGTTTGAGTGGTCTCTTCACCTTCTCCAAACACCAGAAAAACTCCCTTACTGGTGTTGGATTAATACTGATCCTCCTGTCGTGGCCATTAGGAACTTCAAATAATTTAATTTGAAAAAACAAGTCACACGAATTGACAAGAAGTGTGCACAATTTATTTCCTGACGCACTCGTGCCTGAAAACTGTAAGGCAAGATATTCTCTTCCAAATGCCAATTATTCATATCTTTGTAGACAGCTTTCTTTTTTTAGCCTCTGAGAATGACAGTTTTGTAGGACTTTGAAGGTCCTGATTCCTAAAACTGCTCAAACACAGCTGGGTGTCCATGTAATACAGATGTAACGGGAGCCCCCAAACAGGCCACAAATTCAATCTAGAAAATTTCCCAACACCCCTTCCAATGCTCCTATACCCTGAGGTTCTGTGAGTCAAAGGATCAGTGTTTTTGCTTAATTTATATTTTGAATCCTCCTTGGGGACTAAAACTCTTTTATGTCCGAGGATCCCATAAACACAGAAGTGAGACCCTGGCGAATGACACAGTATGCTGATGAAATTTTACTGAGAGAGAACTACAATCTGGATACTTACCATATTATCTATACAAGCATATTTGTTTATGGGGCTAATAATTTCCCACGTTTTTAAAGTAGGTTCCAAGCCCAATGTGGGGCTTGAACTCATGACCCTGAGATCAAGAGTCGCATGCTCTACTGACACAGCCAGCCAATCGCCCCTATTTTGGGTTATTAAAAAAAAAGTTTTTAACGTTTACTTTTGAGGGATAGAGAGAGATAGGGCACAAGTGGGGGAGGGGCAGAAAGAGAGACAGACAGAGAGAGAGAGAGAGAGAGAGAGAGAGAGAATATCTCAAGCAGATCCCAGGCTCTGAGCTGTCATGGGGCTCGAACCCACAGACTACAAGACCATGACCTGAGCCAAAGTGGTACACATAATGACTGAGCCACCCAGACACCCGTTATTTTTTAATGATGATCCTGCTTAGGTGGAAAATGTTGGATTTTTAACTTTTGCAAATGCCAACAAGTCAGAGACAACAACATGATGTTTAGTGCATCCTTTTTGTTATTTCTTGTAATTTGTTACTGAAATATTTCAATGTTATAAGGAATAACTTTATTATTTCTTATGCAATAAATTGTAGCTGGCCAGGGCACAGAGAGGAGAACAAATCAGCAGTCAGCACTTTGGCTGCAGAAGATGTTAAGAAAATTCATGGTTCCCACATTCCAGAATTTTCTTCCAAAAACCAACCAAAAGGGATGTTTAAAACTAACTGATTTCAATAATTAAATATAAAAGTTGGATGGATGGGATATATTTAATACACTTACTACACGTTTTTGTTAGTGAGTGATTCTACAATGTAGGCTTCATGTTTCTTCTTTACAAAATTCACCCAAGGGTTCTAAACAATTCTGCAAGCAAAGTTTATTCATTCAATCAACAAGAGGTGTTCAGTACCTATTAGGTGTTACACAGTGGGGATACAGAAATTTAAAAAACAAAATTAATGTTTACTTTTGAGAGAGAGAGAGATGGAGAGACACAGTACAAGTCAGGGAGGGGCAGAGAGAGGGAGACAGAGAATCAGAAGCAGGCTCCAGGGTCTAAGCTGTCAGCACAGAACCTGATGCAGAGCCTGAACTCACAAACCGTGAGATCATGACCTGAGCCAAAGTTGGACGCTTAACCGACTGAGCCACCCAGGCACCCCCAGAAGTTTTTTAAAACATGAGTATCCCAGACCTACACACATCACTGTGATCTCGACAGATCTGCCATCCACCCACCTATCTTTATCTGCCTGTTTGCCTGCCTACCTACCTAGCTACATATAAAGCAAGAGAATTATAAAGGCACAGAAGGAAGTCACTTCTCTCTATGGGGAGTCATGTTAGGCTCAGCACACTATTGATAAGTAGGCTTTTCCTGCCCAAAGAAAAAAGACTCATTTCTCAGAGGGAACAGCACCTGTTGCAAACTTACAAACCGATATGGTGGTGCCTGAGATTAATATTACATAATTGGGTTGGGATTATAGTCAACATAAGTATTGCCTTTTCACTGTATGTTACAATCTATCTTAACACTCGGGAATTTATTAAAATGATGATTTTATTACCGCTCATGATTCTGTGGGCGAGCTGGGCTCACCTAATATTATCTGAAAGAGCGTGACTGGATTGGACATTTATGATGGTTTAGTTATATTTCTGGCAGCCTGTCACAGATCCTTACGAGACTGATCTCTGCAGGCATGTCCACACATCTGGGATTCCCATATAGCCTCAGAGCCTCTTCCTGAGTGAGTCTCAAGGTCTCCCTGTGGTCTCGTCAGCAGGCAAGCTGGACTTCTTGCAGAGTGGCTCAGGGATTGTGAAATCACAAAAGTAAAGGCTTCCACACCTCCCTGAGACTCAGGCACGGAGGGGCACAGCATCACGTGACCAATAAGGTCAGGGAGACAGCCCAAATTCAAGGAGCAGGGGGCCCCACAAGAGCATGCATACAAGATGCGGTTCAGCGGGAGCTGTCTGGAGACTTGTGACCAGCATCCAATACCTGGTTTCCAAACATTCACTTCTCTTGCAAGGTGCCGAAACCTCACGCCATTCCAGCATCAGGGTCAGGCTTAAATTAGAA